CCGCCTATAAATACTGTGAGGCGTGGTACAAAACTCACCTCCGACGATGAAATCTTGTTTGATTTTGAAACGTCAGGGCAATATAACTATGGTTCCCGAGACCGCCTCTTCTTCTTATTTATGTCCGGGGACGCGCATCTTCGCTTCTATCAGCAATATTTTCGGGCGCGAAACGCTTCAGTCAGCACGACGTTGGGAAACATTCGCCCTTCGCGTGTCTTCAACGTACGCGCAAATCAAATTCCTCCACAGATGTCTTGAAAACCATGTGCTCCCCAAGAGCCTGTCTTGCAGGCCACCGGTGAACACAAGTCTGGCGAGACGGTGGGTGACTCAACACGGCAGACGAATGATCCGGGCACTCCTCCAAGACTGCCACCTTCGGCTGCGTAAATACAACGGGGTTTTACGCCAAGAGGTCACAAAGTGCACTGACGTCATCGGCGAAGACGGCGTCACGCTACTTCAGCAGGAGATCGATAGACGAGCCAGAGAACTACGGGCAAAAAGAGATGTTGAGCTGGCTGCTAAGCTTCGAAGTATAAGCCACTCATCTCCGGAAGAAAACGAAATCCTTGCTCACAATATGTCCTCCAAACAGCTGACTCCTGCACAGCTGAAATTGCTGAGTCAGGAAGCTTGCTTCAACACCACAGACGCTGATCCGGTCAATCTCATTGCCACGGTCGAATCGATCCTCAAACAAACCGGAGAATCGGACGAGACTGCGCATCTCATTCGGCAACAGGTCACCTCCTTGGTGATGGCGCACAAACCGCGAGCGATCATCACCAGAGCGGAGCAGAGCGTTCTCAGGGCACTCAGGAATGACACTAGCATTGTAATACTACCGGCAGACAAAGGACGTTCGACAGTCGTGCTGGATAAGACAAACTACGTTCGGAAGGCGAACGATCTACTGGAGGACCGACAGGCATACCTCCCATGTGGTGAAGAATCGATAAAGAAACCGGTGACTCAACTGGACAAGACGCTCGCCGACATGCAATCAAACAAAGCAATAAGTAAGTCGGTACGGCTGGCCATTAAGCCAACAGATGCTGACCCACCACGATTTTATGGACTACCGAAGGTACACAAAGCCGGTCTCCCCCTCCGACCAATTGTTTCGTTGCGCGGTGCACCAACATATAATCTGGCAAAGTGGCTATTCCGCAGCATGAGGTCTCTCACCTCGGACTCGACCACGACCGTCTGTTCAGCGGCTCAGTTCCTGGAGCGGCTCAAAGGGATGCGGCTAAACGAAGATGAGGTCATGGTGTCATTCGACGTCACCTCTCTCTTCACTTCGATCCCGCATTGGCTAGCAGTCGAAACGGTTGGCGAACTGCTCGAAAGAAAGTACGACGAGACGAGCGAAAGCGTGAAATGGAGACATCTCATTCAACTGTTAAAGTTCTGCCTGAAGACGTTCTTTACGTTCGGAGGGAGAGTATATGAACAGATCAAGGGGACACCGATGGGATCACCGCTTTCGGGCTTCATAGCAGAAGCAGTTCTACAAAAAGTGGAGACGGCAGTTTTTGAGATCTACAGGCCAACCTTTTTGGGCTCGGTATGTCGATGATACCTTTGTCCTCATCAAGCGGGAAATGGTTCAAGAATTTCACAATGCCCTGAATTCTGTCTCCCCTGATATCCAGTTCACAATGGAGGCGGAAAGCAATAAATAACTTCCGTTCCTGGACGTACTGGTTCATCGGAAACCAAGTGGCCACCTTAAAACAACGGTGTATAGGAAAGCCACCAATACAGGCCAAACCCTCAGCTACCACAGCAAGCGCCCGTTATCCCACAAACGCAGCTGTGTACGAACACTGTACAAAAGGGCAGAAACACACTGCAGCGAGCCAGACGACAAAAGGTTAGAATTACGTAACCTCCAGCGCCTCTTCATGGCGAACGGCTATCCTCGTAACTTCATAGAACGCAACAGGCAGCCTGGTCCAAGCCGAAGTTCGGTGACAGAACGGCCAAAAATCTGGCGGGCGCTTCCTTACATTGACGGCGTCTCTGAGGCGGTCTCCCGTCTGCTAAGACCACTGGGGATTGGCATTGCCCATCGGCCAGAGTCAACAATTCGAAATCTGGTCATGAGACCTAAGACCCCTCTGCCACGCGGCGAAACAACAAACGTCATTTATCGGATCCACTGCAGGTCCTGTGATATGAACTATATTGGAGAGACCGGCAAACGACTGCACACCCGTGTTGCAGAGCATATGAGGGCAGTTAGGCGGATGGACCCGTTGTCTCTAGTGGCAGAACACTGCGCAAACTCTGGACACACGTTCGCCTTCCAGAATGCTGAAATCCTGGGCCGGGGAAATGACCGCATCACGAGGGAAACAATCGAGGCCTGGCACACTGGCGCGAACTCCATCAACCGAAGCGTAGCGCTTCCTGAGGCTTACCAGGCCCTCCGGACGCAGCTTAGTGAACAGAAGAGTAGAGTCAGGCTGCGACAAGACAGAAACCCAAGTACGGCCGAGTCCATGGGGGCCACACGCGCAGCTGTACTTCAACCCGAATCTGACGAAGGTGTGATCGTCACTACAGCCGCGTCGTCCACTTATCTGGCAGGTGTGAGGACGAACGATCGCAGTAACGCCAAGGGACCCGATGACGGTGCTATCATCACTGCCACTCATGCGGCAGGTGAGAACACAAGTGACTGCAGTGTGACAAAGAAGATTGCCAGCCTAGGACGAGAGCTAAGGTCAATGCAAACACGTGCGATGACAGCTAGCGTCCAAACGACAGCCCCCGAATAGACGCAAACCCGTTGTAACAAGATCGTCACCGCCTATAAATACTGTGAGGCGTGGTACAAAACTCACCTCCGACGATGAAATCTTGTTTGATTTTGAAACGTCAGGGCAATATAACTATGGTTCCCGAGACCGCCTCTTCTTCTTATTTATGTCCGGGGACGCGCATCTTCTCTTCTATCATATATATATATATATATATATATATATATATGTGTATAGTAGAAGTTGTAGGCATTTCGTGACGATATAATGAAAAAGGAAGAGGTTCTTCGGAAGAAATCGAGTTTTAATCGTGAATTTTCGAATTTTTAACACCAACCCGTCGTCAGACGAAATGAAGAGAAAAGTGATATTGAGACATTCACGCTAGACTAATACACGTGACAGGACAAACATTCGCGGACGAACTATTAGCGTGTGAGGAGGGATGCGGGTAGGGAGTCATGCTGTGTTCTGAGCCGGGAGGGTAGGAAGGGGGGGGGGAACCGTTACGGCTGCCGTGTTGGAGGGGAGGGAGAACGGTAGGTTGGCAGAACTGCGGGCGCCTGGATTAGCGGCTGCTGATGCGGCGTGGGGCTCGGCTTATTGAGGCGTGATCTTAGGCCCTCATAATGGACGTCTAGGTCAACATGGCGGTTGATGCTATCCGCGTTTGAGTGCCATGCCTCTAGGAATTCTCTCGCCCGTTTTGTGTTGGCCGAGGCGATGACCTCGGTGTTATCCCAATTAAAACGGTGGTCGTACTGTAGTGTGTGTGCAAAGACGAGGGACAGTGGATCACGGCGACGGACAGCTAGTTTGTGTTAATTAATACGAGTTCCCAGGCGTCGTCCTGTATAAATTATGCATTATGAGGGCCTAAGATCACGCCTCACTAAGCCGAGCCCCACGCCGCATCAGCAGCCGCTAATCCAGGCGCCCGCAGTTCTGCCAACCTACCGTTCTCCCTCCCCTCCAACACGGCAGCCGTAACGGTTCCCCCCCCTTCCTACCCTCCCGGCTCAGAACCCAGCATGACTCCCTACCCGCATCCCTCCTCACACGCTAATAGTTCGTCCGCCAATGTTTGTCCTGTCTCGTCTATTAGTCTAGCGTGACTTTCTCACTCTCTATTTTCTCTTCATTTTGTCTGACGACGGGTTGAAGTTACCAATTCGAAAATTCACCAGTAAAACTCGATTTTTTCCTAAGAACCTCTTCCTTTTTCATATATATATATATATATATTGATTATTCTCTGGAGTTCATATACCAGAAACCGCTAGAGAACGCTGGGGGTCCCACTGAAGAGCCGAACCCCTCGCAGCTGTGTCGCGCAGCGGCAGAATATCGGCGAAACACGTGTCTGGGCTTTTAGCAAGTATCTAGGTCGAGAGTACGGTATAATACCTTCACCATATGAAATTCATAATACTCGTAGTACTACTTGTTTGTAGAATGGGCATTACGTGGTTATTCCATAGTAGTTGATTGTCTTCGACTCAAATGTTCATTGAAATTTCGCTTCTGACCCTAAAAAGTCATGTCCCGGAGATTTAACTCCAAGTTCTGCACTGATTAATTTCCGAAATTATTCACCTGATTATTCTCTGGAGTTCATATACCAGAAACCGCTAGAGAACGCTGGGGGTCCCACTGAAGAGCCGAACCCCTCGCAGCTGTGTCACGCAGCGGCAGAATATCGGCGGAACACGTGTCTGGGCTTTTAGCAAGTAACTAGGTCGGGAGTACGGTATAATACCTTTACCATATGAAATATATATATATATATATATATATATATATATATGCCCAATATACATACCGTTGCGATTCTGTGATATTTAAATTTTCCAGCTACATGCACGTGCATAAATTTCTATTTACGTGTTTTGCTCAACTACAGGCAACATCCTCAAATTCACATGTATATTGTCCTGATAAATTCTTTCTCAAAATGATGACCGAGTGCCGTCCCACTTGAAAGCTCCATAGTCGATTTCGACGTTGTCCTCCATTCGTCCAGCATCAGAATGAATTCATGGACAAAAACATATTTGTCACTTATTTTATACTAATGGCGGACCTGCACTGTACTTTATATTAATAGTACACTTGCGCTTTATTCCCTTAATGTGTCGAAATTTCCCTACTTCTCAACAAACACGCCGAGCGATGTCGTCCTTACAAGAGACAAAAGAATAATTCCTTATTGTCCATCCGTACAAAATGGCGATCCCATCGTGACTGCAGATGCTCTAGCATGTTGTAGACGCTGAGAATTATGGTTCGCTGAAGACCTCCATGTCTGGGGACTTTTCTGGCCGCCTCAAGCATAGGATTTTTCGGAGACATTGTCAAGATTATCGCACTGTGCATGTAAGCTTCGTACTGCGTTGAAGTCAGTTTCGATTTAAGACAGATACCAACTGCTGACTGAAGGCCCGAGTGGCCTTGGAGTAACTATCATTAAATTATTATTAATTGTCATGCACCGTGAGTTTATTGCATGAATATATTAAGTTGTTTTTTTGTTTGAACTTAAACTCGAGATGTTTTGTATTTAGTGCAGGATGACTACTGACGCATCCCAGTTGGTGTGGGTTGCCCCACGAAGATACTAACGTTTGAAGAGCCAAGCGGCTTGTGGGTATGTAGGCTTGCAGCTCTTTGCTCCATTTGTTTCATCGCATCGTTAAATGTGGTCATAATTTATGAGCATACGTGCTAACACTAGCGCACCATTGCTCATTATCTGAACAGTAACCTTGAAACTGTCAGATGGGCCTATACGCGATGACTGACATGCAGTGGAATGTAGGCATGTTGAAAGGAAAATGCTACGACTGCAGAAGGTGTTCGAATAATTGCTCCTATATCATTCCCTCATCATCTTTGTTTGCAAATTCACCTATAAATCTACCGATCAGTTTGTTTTATATTTCCCAATTTAACTAATTAGCAGTTACTACTTCATTCTGCTTTATTATTCCCCATTCCGCGCAATGATGTGTATTGACGAGTGATGCAATGCGGTTAGCTCGATTTATGCATTTTAAACATACAGGCTGCATATTCGGATCTGTGCTTTTGGAGAATCGAAAAATTTGCCCACATTCGTTTGAAACCCAAATCTCAAAAATCAAACGATGGCGTAAATTGTGGAGTATTCGATTTGTTGTATGTTTCGCGTGCGTTATTTTGTTTGATGCCTAATGGAGAATGATCAATAATATAATGTAAAATATCACTAATAGAATATGCCCCGCGTCAAATCTTATGGAGGTAAATGATGCAATGCAAGTGGTCATAACATGAATAGGCGAGTAAAATGACATACTAACAGGCAACCGTCAGTACAAAAGACTGAAAGAGGAAACTCATTATGGGTTAGTCTGAACACAGTCATTGAATAATGACAAACACAGTGATATATTGAATTGAAAAATCTTGAATTTACAGTCAACATCCATGGCCCACAGAAAGCGCTGCAAAAGAACAAAACGAAATCAAAAGGAATCACCTAGTTGAATTCCGGTTTACTTTGAGTGAAAATGGTCTTCTGGAAGTTGATGTTTCGAGCTCCTGAAAGTGTCGTGGGATGATCGGAGAGTAAATATTAAAATCAGAATCAAATTAATGGCAGATGCAATTGTGGGGCGAGCGACCGTCTGCGGAAAAAGGCAAGAAGTTAAATGCTCACATAACCTCGACTACTGAGGCTTGCTCACATGTGAGCACCCAGGAAGAGCAGATTCTGATTATTGACATATAGCCGATTCCCCGTTTACCTGTAAAATGCAGAAGTTTCGAGGAGGAGAAAAAAATTATCATTCATGGTTTCTGCTGTAGGCGCTGTCGTGGAAATGACGTAGTCTCCTGCAAACGGGTTTCGTAAGACACGCTCACACACACGCACAGGCTCACACTCACAAGCTCACACACACCCAACCTGATTCGACCAACGATCTACTCTATCTTCTCAAATTCGCATCCCCCTTTAGTCAAGGAGTGACCGTACAAAATATATATGTAATAGATGTATTCAACCCGTTAAAAGCTGACACCCTTACAGTAGTAATGTTGAATGTAAACTCAATCGTTTATGCGTACCGTTAAATTGTGACTCATGCCTTATGGAGTAGACGCAGTATGTGCACGCAGTCTGTCGCACTATGTGCTCACACATTCCGTACCATCCAGTTTCACCTATTTAGTGTGCGAAAATATCTATCGACCTGCGCCAAATCGAGGTCCGCCATTTCAGCGTTTTTGGCATCGCATCGCCTAAGCTACGACCGTCAGCCCACTCAGTCCCGCACCCATCTGACATTGTGCAGCAGACCTTTTTCATAAGCTGCTTTATGCTAATTTCACATAGGCAATTGCCATTTCACCGCCATTAACGGCATTACAGTAATGCGTTTGCAAAAAATGCGCAAAAGGCGATCCAGCAGACCGGAATTCAAACATATCCCGATAGACAAATTTTAGCAATGAGCAAGCAACAGTGCGCGGAATTCATGAGGACTTAAGCCTACGTCAAAGCATCTTTCTTCTTCAACATGTCACTGTGTAAGTTACCAAGTTACGAATTCTAACCGGTACACGGGGATTTCAAAAACCATATTAACATAACGAGCATTGCCAGACCAACTGTTGTATTCGCTAATGCGATAAATCGTCGCAGACCCAAAGGCCAATACTTTTGTATACTTTCACAAGCACAAAATGTAGCACTATATTTCCTTTAAAAGTCATCGGCTATATTTTCGGCTTAAAAGTGTACCGTGCGATAGCATGCAAGCAGCTCTGGAATTTCTCAAATTTCGGATCATAATTAACCGAAGAGGGTGGCTTCATGACTGTCTCAGGGTGTTTGTTCTCGTTGTGTTATCTAGCAGCAAAACCCGACGTCTGCCTACGAAATAATTTTTGCAAGAATGTTAGCTGTGACGTCGGGGCTTACAGAGTCTGTTCAAGCTTTAAAAGACGCAATCATCGACGAATTCAAGGTTTTA